GCTAATTGGGGAAATCTGCAAGCGCGTGCCGGAGAAAATCCGCTAGCATCAAGGAATTTTAATTAGTTTCTTTCAAGTTTGAGTTTCTATATTTTTAGGATAAACACCTTAGGTAAAAGTGATAGTTTCCACTAAAAACTCAATTTCACCAATTTTTTAGCTGGCAGAAAATTGGCTTAAACGGCTAATAATATAGTAAAACTACCCGACTATATTGATAAGCGATAGTAATTATATTTGAGTTTGGTGATCAGATTAGAGAGCGTTGTATTTTTTAAAAAAAATATTGGTTGCTCTAAAATTCTTGACCATCTATCAAAAAATCTTAGATAATCATAGGAATAGAATGCTTATTAGTTCTTATTTGAGGCTAAATAAAGTAGATATTAGAGGTCTGCAAGCGATTCTGCGCGCAGGCTTTTCCATATTTTTTACAATTAAATGCGTGAGTTTTCTGCCGGCCTTTAAACTGGTTAACGTCTAAGCATATTCCTCACTATTATTCATATATTTGTAACATTTTTAGATTTTTAGGACAAATTCAATTCTTTTTATTGATCCATACTATTTACAATTATAAATGATTATTTTTTCTACTACATTTTATAAATAATGGCATATTAATTAATTGATAAAATATGGACGATTTTAAAAGTAACAAAAGATATTTTCCATCGGTGCTATGAGGATAGGCTAATATCGCTACGCAAATAATTTTGCCAGCCAACCACATTCGATGATCAAGACTTAAATTCTTAAATGTTATGAGGATAAACAGTTATATTATTCAAAATATAGTGACAAAAATATTAATTGTAAATCTAAATTAAAACAATAAAAAATAAAATATTATGTTATAAAAATCTTGATATAAATCAGAGACCTGCAGGCCCGGCCCGGCCCGGGCCGTATTTTAAATTTTTTAAATATGCGGGCCGGGCCGGGCCGGGCCTAAAAAAATTTTTTTTAAATATATCCGGGCCGGGCCTAAGATTCTTAAACCCGGGCCTGGCCTTAATATTTTTTATAAAAATTTTAACATTATGAGTTAATGGTTATAAGATTATATTATATTATAGTTATGATTAATATAATATTGGGTAATGGTTAACACACCTAACACCTACAGATCGATCTAATTATTAATTTCCTGCAAATTTATTCAAAGTATTAATATATTTTTTTATAATTCATATCTAAATTTTTACAACATATTTTACCAAAACAATCAAATAAAGGAATATCTTAAATAAGCCCCAATATTCAAGTATTAATAATATATTTTTTATAATTCATATCTAAATTTTTAGAATATTTACCAAAACAATCAAATAAAGGAATATCATGGCACAAAATACTAATGATATAATTAATAAAATTAAATATAATATTTATTCTTTTAGAAATACAAATAATAATTTAAAATCTGAAATATGGGCTAAATTTAACATCATCAAAGATGAAAATAAAAAAAACATTGGCTACGTACAATGTAAGAATTGTTCAAGTATATTATCTTATAATTATAAACATGGTACATCACATCTAAAAAGACATAAATGTGATGGTAAATCCATGAAAATTAATAATTTTTTTTTACACCTGAAAAACCAACCTATAAATGTAATATAAAATATTTAAAAATTATAAAATAAATTATATTAATATTGTGCAATTAGATTATATTTTCAAAATACTATTTATTATACATGCATTTTTTTAAATAGCGATTTATTTTTATTTTATAAATTAAATAGTAAATTAAATACAATATATTATATTCTCAAAATATTTTCCATTTTTATAAATTAAATATTAGTTTTATTTTTTTTAAATGCAATATAAATTATAGTATATGCTCAAATATTATTACCATTTTTATGAATATTAGTTTTATTTTTATAGTAAATGCAAAAAATATAGTTATATGCTCAAAATATCCATTTTTATAAATAACAGTTTTATAATTTTTATAAATTCAATATAATATTCTCAAAATATTAGCTTTTTTCATGTATTTTTTAAATAATAAGCGATAATACTCGCTGAAAAATTTGGTAAAATACCTCATAGGTGAATTTTTTTATATACCAGGTCGAATATAATTTTAAAAAATTCCGAGCCGGGCCTGAAATTTTTTTTTAAAATATCCGGGCCGGGCTTTAAATTTTTAAATCCGGGCCGGGCCGTAAAAAATTTTTTTTTAATTTATTCGGGCCGGGCCTTAAATCTATAAATCCGGGCCGGGCCGTAAAAAAATTTTTTAAAAAATATCTGGGCCGGGCCGGCCTAAAAAATTTAAAGCCGGGCCGGGCCATGCAAATGGTGCCTCTGCAGGTCTCTGATATAAATAATATCAAAGAGGAAATTTTTTATTAAAACCAATCGAAAGCTGAGCAAAAGAGCATCAAAGGCGTGGTGGAAAGGTTGTGGGGTGCAAATCCCCTCTATAAATTATTATAAGAGAAAAACTCACCCCTATGAATTAAAATATCTGGCAATTAACTACATGCTGAATTTGTATAGGTAATTTTTGCCGTAAAAAATGGGTTTTAAATGTTAATTTATTTAGAACTTTGCTTTTAAATTTAATATTATAATTTATTGTTTCTTTAAAGTTCTCTTATTTAAGATATTTATTTATTTTAAAAAAAAAACTTTTAAAAAGTAAGGTAAGAGAATATATGGAAAAATGGAAATAAATCATGTGTCATCTTAAGAATGTTAAAGTAAATTGAATCTATTTGCATAATTTTAATTTAAGTAGTTTTATATTTTTCTTTATATTATTATAATAAAATACTTTTGCGATTTTTTATTATAATAATGAATGAAATTTATAACAAAATGTCGGCAATGAATGATAGTTGAAATGAATGGTATTGGAAAATTGAAGTGTGGGATCAAATTACATGCATTCCTTGTGGCTTGTGCAATTTATATTGAAATTTTATACATTAAAGATTAATCTTGAAAATAAAAAATTTTAATTTATTTATTATTTCGATTTAAAAAATATTGAAAATGGTAATTAATTATAATATTAGTAAAATAGATTTTTTCAATTTACGTTTTCTTACTGATCTAAATCATTTTAAAAAACAATTTACCCATAGTAAAATAATTAAAATTTAACTCGTAAAGATTTTTATTCATTCAGTTCAGCACGTTGGATTTAAATCTCCCCGAAATAAAAAAAAATGCATCACATTTTCTATCTGAGTCAAGAGGTGCCAATGCGGCCTTGTTTGTTAATTCATCTTTAGATTCTTAATTTAGATCTTCTTTGGTAGATTTTTTAACGCGAGAAAAAAGATTTTTTTATTACAAACGACATTGACACTTTTTGTGTAAAATGTGATATGGGAGAGATAAAAAAAAATTTATATATGAAATCTTAGTTTAATTTTTTTATATAAAATCCTAAGGGGAAGAAAATTTTTATCTGAAGGGCCAATTTTGTTTGTTAATGATATTTTAAAAAAAAAAAAGTATTATTAATTTCCATTCATTTCCGATTTGTAAAATAATATAAATTTACGCCCATATATATTCATTATTATAATTGTTTAATTTCCTTACGATTTTAGATGAGGGTATTGATTAACACCTTAAAAAACAATTTCTTTTATTAATTAGTGGTAATTATAATATAAAATTATGATTGAATTATAAATTTTTTGACGTGTGAAAAATTAAATGAAATATCGGTGTATATTTTTTTACTGTTTTTATAAGTGAATATTGATTATTTTTTTAATTAGATAATTTGTTCTAATTTGATGTTCCTCGAGTTATTTTTATATTTAATTTTTTTTAGAAAGGTATAAAATAAAACACACGGATAATGTTGCAAAGATTTATCGTTCGATCATTCGCTTTATATAGTTCTATTTAAGATGGGGAAGTTGCTACCCTCCTTCCCAAATCTTTCTGAAAAAATTATTTTTAAAAAGGTGTTGGGCCCAAATTTCACAATTTTTTCCCCTCTTTTAACAACTCTAAGAATATGAAGGATATAAAATAGAATTCAACGTGATTTTGCCCGTTAAAAATTTAAAAAGGTTTTTTGGCAGGCCACGTGATTTATTTATCTAAATATATTTCAGTTGCCCGGCTTAGCCCATAAAACATATTCTTTCAAGTTTCCCAACCCATAGGAGGAAAATTAAATGATAATAAATTTACTTTGTTCAAAGGTTTTTTAATTAAAATTAAGAACCGGCCTAAACCCGAAGTTTTTCTGTAAAAATTTACCCGCCCAAAATTTAGAGGCCCTGCAGGTCGAGTAATTAGATCACTGATTTTAGATATTTTTAAGTTATAAAATGTAATCTTTAAGATTACACTCCGCACTAGCTTGTCGATATTTTATAATTGGACTTAGATAAAATGGTAGTTATATTATGTGAAAATTATCATAGGAATTTAATTTTTCTATGCATCTACTAAGTAAAATAAATATAAAAAAAAATTTGGACATATTGCGACATTTCTCACTGATTTAAAAAGCGGGAAGGAAAACTCTAAAAACGAGAATGTTTCAATGCAAAAAAAATTGTGTTGTTCAAACCCAAAAAACGCCTAAATTAAAGTTTTTAGCTAAATAAATATTTAAATTATGCCTCTATTTGACCAAAAATGGGCTATACCTTAATCTCTTACAATCTAATTTATATTGTGAAATAAGGACAGTGTCGATTAGTGTTGTTAAATGGCTCATTTTGAGCCACTTCTCTAAAACGGCTAACTCAATGTTTTAGCCAAAAAAATTATGCCCTAAGCCTCAAGATTTTGTTAATATATGTCTAGACCTTTGTTCCTTATTTGAGCAAAATCTTCAGGTTTGCGTAATAATTTTATGGATAGAATATTGACTTAGCTGTTTTTAAAAATCGACTCAAAACGAGCCGTTTAACAACACTAGTGTCGATAATGAATATTACAAATTGGATTGAAAACATTAATGAGATTTTTTTTTAAATTTAATTTTTTTAAACCTTTAATTGTGAAGAAGCCGAATAGAATATACGCGAAATAATTATAGATGATCATCGATTGACTTTTCCGTGAATTGTATCGTAATAAGATAATTTTGAATATAAATTGAAATAGCTATGGAATATTTTGCTTTGTCAACTTTTAGATAAGAATGAGTTTTGGTTTTCCTTTTTTATAATGCACATCGCCTAAATGAACGGTGGATTTAAGGGAAAGCTTGTTTTTAGAAAATATATTCCCAAAAAAAAATAAGATAAAATTTGAATATTTTTTTTTCTCTTTGTCTTTTAACAAAAAAAAAATTTTTTTAATCAAATGTTACACCTATATGAAAAGAAAAGTAATTTTATATTTTTATAATCGATTTAAGAATGAGACCATTTTTTTTATATATTTTTTTTAAAAAAAAATTAGAAATTATTATAAATAATAATTTATTATTTTTATTATTTTATTATACCTGAAATTTTAAAATTCGTAATAGAATAGTACACACAAATAAAAAAAAACACAATAAAATTATATAAAATAAATAATTTAAACCTGTCTAATTTGGTAACTTTATAGTAGGGATTATTTAACTATTTTTGTTGAAAAATTAAATTATGTAAAATATGAAAACAATATTCAGCTTAAAAACTCAAAATGGCCTGAATATGCAAAAGGGCATAGATTAGACAGGTTTAAAAACTCCTATAATAATTCTTTAATTAAATCATAAATATCTTGTATCTTTTTATTTAAGATACTACCTTTTCTTATGTGTTTATTTTTGCGATTTATTTTCAATAAAAAATAAGAACTTATTTACGTCTCGTTTGATTTAGTAAATACCTCACCTGGATTCAGGTAGATAATGTATATTTATTTTAAGAAGGTAAACATAAAAATCGTATTATTTCTTTATATTTCAAATTATTGTTAATATATCATAAACAAATTTATTTTCTTTTAAATCTATAAGCTTGAATAAAAATTGCTGTAATTTATTAGTATATTTTTTTTTGAAGTTTGTGCTCTCAGAAAGTCCCTCAAAAGCAAATTTCTTTTAACACATACCCTGCCCTGCCTCAAATTTTTTATTTCTATTTAAACCTGACCCTAATTCCTTTCTTCATTCCAATCTTATTTTAAAATTGGGTGAATTAAAAAAAAATTACAATATTTTTTAGTTATCATTTTTTATAAGTATAAGTGTAATTAAACGCTAACCCAATATTTTAGCCAAGAAATTATGCTCATAGATGACAGAAAGGTTTGGAAATATATTTAATGAAATCGAGGCATGTATAATATTATTTTCACTAAAATTGATTAAATCGAGTTATATAATTGGATTCCTATTGACATTTTCCGGCTCATAGCGATTTTTGAAAATCTGTTTTTTTGGACTGGTTTGTAAAATAATTTTGTATAAGTTTTCCGACCCACGATAATTGTATTATCAAAAAAATATATATATATAGATTTCCCTGATTCTAAGCTTTACTAGACTTCTCTGCCTCTATCGAAGGGGCTACACGATATTTTACTATATTTATTAATATCAATCGTATTTATATTTTCAAAACCTAATTTTTTTTAAAAAAAAATTGAAATTTTAATTAAAAATCCTCTAAAAAAATAATTTAGGCTATCATTTTCAACAATCTCGTTTATTTTATTATTTTTCTCTATTTCAAATAAAATTTATCTTCTTATTCTGATTAAAATAATAAAATTAATTAATTCGCATGGTGAGAAGTAGATTAAATTTAATTCTATCTTTTCCTTATTCCTTTGCCTGATTGATAAAAAAAATTAAAATATTTCTATATTGTTTGTTAAAAAAATAATAAGTGCATTACATATATTATATTAAATTTAATTTTATAATCATTTCTTTTCTTAATTTTCTATTCAAAGGTGTCATTATTAACATATATATGATGATGAACTAAAAATTCATACATATTAAACGAATTCGGGACAGAAAAATATTCTTCCCAATATACAAAAAAATGGGGTATATCTGCCCGGTGTCTTTTAGTCCGACCATTATACCATATCATAACAAAAATAATTTTGCTTTTTTCATAAAAAAGGAAATGGGCAATGATGGATTTAAGAATTATGAAGAATCTTTCTCTTCTATGTGGTTAAAAATTTGGGTTAAAAAGAGTTTGCTATTACTTATATTTATAGGATTAAAATAATCAAAATAGGCAGGTTTTTATTTTATAAATAATTATATACGGCAAATATAAAGTCTTGTTTATTTGTTTACCTACCCTACCTATATTGTATTATAGAATTTGATAAAAAATAGAAATTTAAATAACTATAATAACAATATATTGTACTTATAAAAAAAGTAAAGTATGACATTTGTTTAAGGTACACCTATATATCTAATAAAGTAGATTATTGATGTGTATTAATATTATAATAAATATGTTACAAAATACAAAAATAATCGATTTTAAAATTATATTTAATAACATTTGAACGTCTACAATTCACGTCTAACTTACACCTAAAAAATTAATTTTAATTTCTTTGTAAAATATAAATGTTTCTTAAAAAATCAACACCATTTTATATTATTTTATATAATAATAAATATATCAATTTTATAAAATAAAAAATTAAGTCGAATCTTATTTGAAATGCAAGATTTAAATAAAGCACCAAAATGAAAGTGAAGTGGCGCCACAATTATTCATTACCCAAATAAATTGGTATTTTTTTTAATTGCCATTTTATTATTAGAGCACATGCTTTTTTATTCGATAGGCAGACATGAATTCAAATTTTTGTGAAAATATATAGAAATTAAAAATCTATTATTTTATTGTATTGTTGAAATAAGCATGCTAATTTGTAAACAGGATATTTATTTTTTCCGAAAAGTGGCTTATAACTTGGGGTAGCCATTCCCCCCCCTCCCATGTGATGGAGATTCTCAGAATTATTTCATCAGCATAATGTTAAACTTCCATAATATCGAAAATTAGTTTTAAAAAATTCTCCGCTCATATGCCTTTGTTTATCTTATTCGTCACGTCACCTCTGGCGCCTACAACGGGGGGGGGGGGGCGAAGCAACTTCTTCAGTAAATTTTAAGTGGGGGTATCTTATTTTTTAAATTTTCTTTATTATTTAATTCTTTTACTGTTTTGTTACCTCCATCATGATCAAGTGATTTCTGGTTTATAAATGTAATAATAAGACCCCCCCCCCCAACTTAATATTTAATTTAATATATATTGACGGAAATTTTGGTCGATGTTTAGTAAATTAGGTTGTTATCCGAGATTTCTTGTCATAAATTATTTTTCCAATTTTAAAATATTCCTAAAAATATTAGCCAAAAAAAATACAAATCCCTAATTAAAAATTGCAAATCGCATAATATAAGAGATGATATGATAAATGGATAGATCACATTAGAAAAAGACATGGTGGGCTTAATTTTAACGGTATAAAGAAAAGCTTTGAAATAGTAGCTTTTAAGAATGTTACTCAAAATTGTACAAATAGCAAAGCATTTTTTTTATTAAATATTTAATTATTTATACTTATCTTATTATAAAGGGTATTAAATCGCAATTTAAGAAAAAAGAAGTAAAAATTGGGAATTCAATGCTGTTGGTATAATTAATATTTTTAATTATCTTTTAGAAGTGTCCTAATAATAAAGAAAAGGTGTTATAAGAAAATATAGTATCTGATGATTCTGATAATGATCATGAAATTAGTGAACCTGAGGTCATTTAATTACTCTTATTTTTTATCTCTGCTATATTTTTTTATAGGCAGACACAGAGCAGAGATTTGATAAAGTAGAACAATAAATTCCTATTATCTCTCTACTGGTAATTAATATTAATTTAGCTTTATTAAATTTTAATGAATACAACATATGCAGTTTAACGAAAGATTTAATGATGATTCGATCAAATTTTTACATCAAACATAATTTTTTACGCCAAAGGGAATGGCAGAAAAATCAATTATTAAAGAAGATATCGAGGATACCTGTAAATTTTACAATTTAATATTCAAGTCAAATTTTCGAAGAAATGTTGAAGTTTAGAAATATTTATAAGATGGCCAAAATGGGGAATGTAATTATTACTTATGACCTAGAGGTTCAAGAATCTAAAGATTTGTCAGATTCTGAGAATTGTAAATTTATTTAATTAAAATATTTTTACCAATACATTATTTAGCTTCTTCTGATGATGATGATAATTCAGGGACTTACGATTCAGATTGGAAAAACTATTCATTTATTTTACCTTATCGTCTACTTTTAAATTCTTCTGCTTTCCCTAATTTAAGAATTTTATATAAATATTTATTAACCATTCCTGCAACCTCATGTACTGCCGAAAGAGTCATGAGTAAAATTAAATTAATTAAAACAAGACTTCGTAGTACCATGAAAGATTCATTTCTCAATAATTTAACCATATTATCAATGAAAAAAAATTTATTTAAACAATTAAATATTGATGAAATTATAAATTCTTTCGCTTTCTCTTCCCCTAATTTATCTAAATTATTAATTTAAAATTAATATTTATAAAGTATATATTTTTGCATTTTATTTATATTATATATTAAAAATTGATGCAATAAAAATTAGTTTTGAAATTTATGGGCGTCATAAAATAATTATCATTTTTTCGATGGTGGGGGATACTTTTCAGGGGGGTATTCTGCTTCATTCGCTCAGAAAGTGTAGGGGCCACTGCCTCTTAGCTATATTTATTCCCTTCCTAAAATTTTAATTTTTTTCCCCCCTTTATTCTATCCCCCATCCAGACCTGTATCATGGTAGACGCTTGTTGCCAAGTGTGTTTGAAAGTAATTTCACTTTAGTTGGCACATTTAGGAAACATTGTTCATCCGCATGCCTTAATTTTAGAAAATTCCCCCTCCCTTCTCTCCCAGATCCTTTTATTAAATCTCCTCGCGTGACCCCAGTCCTGATGTAGTTCTTCAAGCTCTGTTGATTTATTTCTTATCCCACATAAGCCCCCAGCTTAATCTAGGATCCCTATAGCAGCCCGACAATTGATTTCAAAGTACCTCAAGTCTCTTGTAAATAATTTGAATTCAGATTTCTCCCCAACATCCTTATGGTTACCTGATTAGTTTTAGTTTCCAAGTTCTAGTTAAACCCAAAAATAAATAATTTATCAGCCTCAATTATGGAGAAGGTGTCCAATTTTGATAATAACATTATTGATGAATTTGCTCTAT